CCCCCCCAAAGCCACCACCGCAGGTAGAAGAGGAGCTCTGCACGAAGGAAGTAGCCATAGCTGCAGCTCAGGAAGGCGCTAGGGTCAGCTATTCAGCTTGGTGTGGAAGAGGAAAGTATGTGCCTGCTCTGCCCTGGTGCTTCTTTTATATCCTCCAGATAGGGTGTTAGAAGACAAACCCAGCCCGCAGCCCTTCCTCTGAAATTTCTCCTCCCTAGAGGTGAGGCCAATTATGATGACATTCATTGCAAACAGAGCAGGGGCTAGGGCTTGGGATTTTCTTTTTTAATTAAACAAAAGGGATGATTCAGATGAGTGGTTTTTCTTCAGGCTATAGTTCTGAAACTCGGAGTTTACTTGTCTGACATTTATGAATGGAAAAACAAAGTGAGTTCAGCCACACCCACTTACCCGTTTACAGCAATCACCATGGCTATTTTAAGAAAATCCACTTTTTCTAAAAATGAATTTTAAGTAAAATTCTCCTTTCACTGAAAAATGTATAATCATCAGTTCATCTCACAATTATTTCTTCTTTTCTATCCATATTTTTTCCCATTAAAAATTTGGAATTGAATTTCATATGTTCTTATTCCTCTTCTTTGCTTGGAACTAGTATTTAGGTTTTAGAGTCTGAATTTTTAGTACAAAAGCATGTAATCATAGCATTGTGTGACGAACAATTAACATCCATCAATGTACAAGGAGGAGTGGGCACAGTAAATTTACTAATGCTTGTGAAATGGTCAAGAAGTGTAATACAAGATTGAAAGAGTTCAATTAAAAGATGAAATGTGAGAGGACCAAGTTCCTGTTACTTTTGGAAAACGTGAAAAAATTGGTTTTAAGATGAAACTGTTCAGATAGCAATAAATGTGCTTAATGCCAGTCTACACTATGAAATGAAGCAATGCTTGAAAAGAAGATTTGAGAAGCACTTAGAAGAGTTGCCTTAATCCTGCATTTAAAGTGGGAGTCTGAAACACCAGTGTATTTCCAGTCTAACAATTTGCTAGTGAAGTTCCAACGGCAGTAATCCAGTAGTACAGCTCTGCTCAGTGCTGCGTCGTGGTGGGCAAACGGATTTGGGAGATTTTGAAGAAAGAATGAACTGCTTGCTTACCCTGCCAGGGTGTGTCCCTAGGGATAATGTGTGTGGCAATAGTGTGGAGTTTGAAGAAAGAGCCCCATTCTCTGCACAACAAGGTGACATTCTTCAGATGAGAGCCCCAAGTTGCAGTTGAAGAGGTAGGGGAATGGTAAGACAATAAATTGGTACTGAGGCACATAATGATTTAACGAGACTGGGGGTTGAGAGGAGGGAGAAAAGCAGGGGAGGAACTTTCCCTGGGGTCTAGTTTGGAACCACCAAGATTATTTTAAAACAAAACTTTGAAATAAAGAAGAAAGATTATATGTTTGCCAACACTGTAGTAAGGAGAGTGTTGGTTTTAGCACAGTTTTCGATGGTACACATCAACAGAAAACGAGCTTAGAATTCAGGATGGGTGATTTCAGACAAACTGAGGCTCGGGCTCATACCAGTTGTTGGAATAAACTGAGGGGTTTTCTGAAATTTACAGTTGAGACTTCAGTGCAGCACCAGGGAAATGCACGGCCTTTTTGCTAGGAGAATATGTGTACTTGGGAGGAAAGAAAAAAAAGAAACTATCTGTGATACGCAGCGGAGCAGCCTGGTTCTGGGAACGTCCACTCACTCTTCAGCGGATGAGAAGAGACAGGGTGTTTCGCAGTGGTGAAAACATGTTTCAAGCTGAACCTGGACCTTTGCCACAGCAGTTCAGTTTTGCTCTTGGGCAGATTAATGGTTCTGTGTAGCTTGCCAAATCTCTGTATCTCCAAGAGTTAGTATCTCTGGAGGCAAGTTTAGACAAACTCTCCTAGAGATAAAAAACTTTCTGTAAGACCCCTGTAATGTAAATACCCTGAGGTGTGCATGCAGCTAGGGTCTGTTGAACTGTGAGAGATCCCAAAGTAAGGAAGATCAAATTCCACTGAAAAAAAAATCTAGCAAAATCGCTTCTAGAAAACACCATGAACTTGAACAGGAAACTTTGGGGATTTTTCATTCCGTCTTTTTCACTCAGTCTTTGTAACTTCTTTGGAAGCTTGCTGGCAAAATACACTTTGCTGCTTTTTGAAGTGCCCTGTGCATTGTTCTGGATTGTTATCAGATGAACACTTACAAACACCAGGTAGCACATATAAAACTGTTTCTTTCCTGTAGAATATTTGCCATTGGGAAAAATACAAATAAATAAAACAGCCAATACAGATTATGTCCTAGGACATAATTCAGAAAACAATAGTGGTGGGGATTCTGTGGCTTTTTCAGTTTTCTGTAAACCCTCAAACTCAAGATCCTTAGGGTGTGTACCCCATGGGCAAAAGCTTGTAAATGCAGACTGCAGCTTTCGCAGACCTGAGGCTTATCCCTGCTTTCATCATCTTCGCTATTTGTTCTTTCGTATTAAACAACTACTTCTAAATAGTTCCTAGTATTTTAGTAGAAATTGTCAGTAGTATTTTCATACCGAAGGAGAGTCCAAGGAAAGGTGCCTTAGTGAAGCACTGAGAAGTCTGGAGGTGGTCGTTTATGGATCATTTGTTTGCAGCCTGCTTCCGTTGCTGTGCTACACAGGTAGTTTCCCGAAGAGAAAAAAGCTTCACTTCTGAGAGCTCACTTCTGAAGATTGGCTCTTCTGGTGAAAGAGAAATGGTACATATGTCGGTACCTCTACACTGAGAGCAGACTGCCGGCAAAGGCTGGTGTGTATTCAGAATTCACTCACTCCTGGTATTTATTTGTAGGTAGATTTTGTTGTTTTATTACTGTCTCCAGGTTGAAGACTTCTATGTCAAAACCTACATGCATTATAGCACTTCATAATGGACTATGTAAGGCAAAGCTTGCTTTGGTCAAAAATTAGGTACCATTTGGTATTTACATTAGTAAAAGATTAGAAATCAGAAGTGTTTTGATGACTCTAATTCCATATCTGAATTTGAACAAGTATGTGAAAATCATCTGCCTTTAGCTCAGTTCTAGATCTAGGTATAATTCTACATACAGTCATATTCTTCCTTTCAATTTTTATTTCTGCATTTTAGCTATGTTCTAGCAATCATTGTAAAAAATCAGTTAAATTTTGCTAAATTCATGAGGTTTGGAATGCTTCCAGATTCATAACCTCTTAGGACTTTAAAGGAACATGTCAAATTGGTGCTATCTCTGTGCTGGTAGAGATCTGTGTGGCTCTGTTCATTCTTCATTTAGCTCTTTTCTGCAGCTGGAATGTGAACTTCAGTCTGCAAAATTTCCTCCTTATAGTCTATACAAGGAAATTGAAGGCGATCACCTCCTGAATTTAAAAAAAATGCCGTTTCAAGGTTTTGCCTTTATTCTGTTCTATCTTCACATGAAGATTTCGTATCCATTGTCCTGACACACAGTTTCATCCTTTGCACAGGACTCAGCGTTGTACTTGTGGTGCCCGAGCTCCTCGGTTTGTCATGCTGCCCCAGAGCTTCCCTGCAAGGCACTCCCTGACATGTCTGTGCTGTGCAAACTCTTTTGTTACTTCTCTTACGGGATTTACGGAATTGACACACTTTAGCCTCTCCTTGCAGGACAGAGTTCCATTCAAGAAGCACCTTGTTTATCATCTCAGTCTTTGCTGACAAAACCATCACTCAGATGTTACATACCTCTAGAAAACACTTTTTTTTCTGAACCAAACTCTAAAATTATAGTCTCCGAGTGATTTTATATTAACATTTCACCAGAAATCCTTCATTACCCTACAAATATGGGATAAAATAAATAAAATTATAAACTGAAATTCAAATCGGGCTATAAACCCAAGAATACTAGCCTTTTCAAGATTCTCTCAATTCTCTGAATCCCTCCATTTCTTTAGCAGGGTTTATGAATTAATTGAATTCTTAGCACTTTTAACCTGTTAAACACTTTGAAACTGCTAACCTTTTAAACATATTTTTTCTGAACATGTATTTAATTCAGTCCTTGAAAATAAAACTTCTTGATCAAAATACACATTTGCAGGTTGCCCAGGGAGGCTGTGGAGTCTCCTTCTCTGGAGATATTCCAGCCCCGCCTGGCCGCGGTGCTGTGCAGCCTGCTCTGGGTGACCCTGCTTGGGCAGGGGGTTGGGCTGGGTGACCCACAGAGGGCCCTGCCAACCCCTGCCATGCTGGGATTCTCTGATTCTTGGAGCACGAGAATTTCTTGTCATACTTTCACATTTGCAGCTGTACAACACCAGAAATCTGCCCCGGACAGCTCATACTCTGACTGGTTTTGTCACAAAAACTTACTCTCAGGAATGGGATTTGTTAAGACTGAAAAACAGACATGGAGTTGTTTGTTCTTTCATCTGGGAGGGACTGCAGATCTAACTGTTGTAGGGAATAAATTTGGTACAAAGCACTTATTGGAAAGTGTCAGCACTCAGGAGCAGCCTGTGCTGAAGCATTTAAGGCAGAAGAGCTTTCTCCTGCTTTTCCAAAAGCGGACACCGCGTAACTGGGTGGGCTTCTGAAGAGCCACTTGCATGTCATGTATGCCAGTGCTTTTCATGCCACTGCTCCCTTTTGATTCTGTACCTGTTTCCACCAGAGTCCCCCTGTTCTTCGTCCTCTCTTCTTTCTCTCTCTTTGCTGATTCTTTCTTTTTGTGACTGTTTTTCTGTCCTGTCAGCTTTTCCCTGTCACAGTGAAGCCACTGCCTAATGCTGTCGTGCTAGATTTGCAGAGGCTAAGCTGGGGTTGTCTGTCAGGACTTGTCAGCTG